TTTGAGGACCATTGAACACTGAATGTCCCTCAATACATCACAATTACAGAAACACCTGTGCCCAGTAACTTTGTATTGAGCCACTATGAAAACTCAGTGTTCAATTGCCCACAACACTTCTCATTTCTTATGACTATATGGTCAGCTCCAGAATATAAAAAACATGTTTTCTGAATGCAGGAGTTTTCAAATTTTTGTAACTGAGAAATCTGGATGACCTACAAAAGGCATTTTTCCAAATTTCTCTGAAATAAAATATACTCATGTTGAATTTAGGCCTAAAGTTTCCAAGGCATCAGAAAAAAGGGTCCCAATTATATGAAAACTAACTAATCTCTATCTAAAGATGGAAAATAATTGCTTTTTGTTAAGCAGAATGCATTTTAGAGTGGTTCTCATTCATCAGAGAGTTTAAACTTTATGAGTTATACCTCATGAACTTACAGTTTCAGTCCTCACTAATGGAATAGCTTGATTGTATTAACGCTCTGATTTTAGGAGCCAACATAAGTTTAAAAAAATCCCATAAAAAATAAATAGATCCTGAGGCATAAAAGCATGGAACAGATTGTGAAATCTCAGAGGGAAGGTGGAGGTGGGTGGGTGGGACTACTCTTTGTAATATTTTAAGCAATAAAACAATAATCAGTAAAAAAAATAAAAAATAAAATTAAAAAGTATATGAATAAAATAGGTAATTATTTCAAATAAATAAATAAGAACATAAATAATAAGGAATCTTTAAAATGAATGCTTCATAACTAATAGAGGCTTCATTTCAATATCATCAGCACATGGTCCATAGTTTCACATTAAACTGTACACTGAACCCTTCATCAATAGTTGCCCGAAAGAGTGCACAAAAACTTTTTATTCACATTGTACAGCATGATTCTACCACAATTCTTCACTATTTCGGTTTTTAAAAGTTCCACAGAATAGTAAGATTAAAAAACAGTCCACTAGCAAGAAACAAAGCAAAATTTACAAAAAAAAAATTAACCCATAAAGTTAAAATTCAACAAAAAAAATCATCTCTAACACTTACATCCTTTAAAACAGGACCTAAATGTGGAGTTTTGA